TATAATTTATTTATATAAATATATAAAGTATAAGTCAAATAAATATAAATAATATATATAAGTGTTTGTTCTGTCCAGATCTTTCGAGGACATTGGTGCGGCCCAAATGCAATCAATGTTTTCATTCTATTCTGTGCATCAATCAAGATATTTTTAGAAAGCAGTTTATGAATTCATTTGCAGTTTGTCCTCAGGCTCATTTATCTTGTTACCTTGGTGATCTATTATAGTGGACAGAACAATGTGCTAAACATAACTATCGACACCAGACGCCACTCACCTTCTCCTGGATCATGATTCAAGCAACTTCACACACACTGACACAACCGACTGACTGTAAAGGAACAAGTCTGGGCCATAGTTTTCATTTTTTATTTTTTTTGTTAAAACTGACTACATGACACTTAAGCACATTCTTACCTGTTATTTTGCATGAATGCATTCATTTCTCTGTCATGCAGTCAATGCAATTTTTTAAATGCATCATAGTAGTAATTGGCTGAATCACCCATAACTATATTCTGCAGAGGATACGCCATGATGACCACCTATCCAGCCAGTGAAACTGCTCTGAGCATCATTAAAGCCGGGGTGACCCGCCAGAGAGAGGCCTACTACCCCTGGTTCCACTACTTCACCTGCCTGATCAATAACATCTTCCCCTTCATGAAGGGCATTCTGCTGTCAGGCCTCAGCGCGGAGTATACAGTATGTACTAAAACATCTGCATAGTTCAGAGAACAGTGTTGTAAATACAACTTTACCACTGAGAAGCGATATCGTCCTCTTTTGGAAGACCAAACAAAGTAGTTTCAGCTTCACAACGAAACACACAGCGCCTTCACGACATGGCGGCAGCAACAATACTACAGCCAGAATAAAAGTTACGCCTTCTTTCTTTGCGTGAACATTTGGGTGGCGTTATGCAAATCTTCCCACATAGTGATGTAGATATGTTGGGGGCGTGTTAGAACGAGCCGTTTTAGGTAGGTGTGGTTGACTCTTAACTTTTATAAAGAATATCTCTTTGGATTTGAGACTTTAGTCTTTGCAACTTTACAGATCTTCTTTATGCACCAAGAGCTTGTAACACTCCAAAGAGAAAGGAAAAATTGAAATCGCATCATATGATCCCTTTAAAGCCACTTTATGTAAGATTTGTACCTTGAAATATCAGTTTCAAAATTATTCTGACGTTCCAAACATCTGTTCTGGAAATTTGAAAGTTAAGCAGGTCAGAAATTATGCGAAAAGGGCAGATCGTTTTATGGCAGCAACAAATGCACGTATACAGCTATATGGTAGGGGGCGCCAAAGTCGCACAAATCCATAAAACTACATACAAACGGGATTTTCCATTATATATTATTTATTGTGATAAATTAATGTTTTATGTGCACTTGAGGCCATTTTTACATAGATAATAATAGCCAGTAGATCATTGTAGTTTTTCATCAGTAGTTTTTCTTAAAATATTATATTTATACCCCAATTTAAAAACCCACATGTGTAAGACGAGCCAACACAACATTGTAAATAATACAAAAGCACAATCAATTCATTATAAAATCAGTCACAGAACAAATAACATTCAACACAAGATGCTATTAATGACACTTGGGGAATTATTTTATAATATTTTTTAAGAACTCTATATGAAAGACTTTTAAGAGCCAGTGCTTAATTATTAAAATGTTTACGTATTTATTTGTCTGACATTGTTTAATTTTTAATTTTTAATTTTTGAACTCCACCAAGGCTCTGTGCCTTTGGGATTTGAACTTGCAAATATGTATAAAGTTTAATGAAATTCAATTAAGTAAACACCACATCAGTTTGTGAGTCTGTATCCGCAGTCTTCATTTTAAAAACAAATGTTGAAATATTAACGCCAGACATGGGATTTGCAAAACTTTACCAGAATGAACAATGTTCTCTTTCCCCTGTGTGATTTTTTTTTTCTCTCCCAAAAAAAGAAATATAATTGTAGACCCAAACCTTTTCCCATGAGCGCTGTGGGAGTTTGCTGAAACCACTGAAGGATGTAAAATCTGAAATTAAACTCTTTGTGACTCACTGGGACATGGGACAATTCATTTCCATTTGTGCAAGTCATTTATAATGAAATATTTGAAAGTCTCCAACCATTAAATGCTTTTTCTGGTGAAGTTGTGCCATTATTAAAGTTCTGAAAGTATAACCATAATACAAACATTACATGTGTTATGTTACACGGGTCATACTGGCTAATGAGCAGCCGTGAGAGCAAGGTCAAAACCATCATGTCAGTGTTGCGTTGTCATTGTCTGTCAGAAGCTGATAACTGTTATAAGTGAAACATTAATCTGCAGTATGAAATGGATAATTGCACGACAGTTTTAGGTTCACCGGAACCTGAAGTAAATGAATTTTTTAACTTATCTTTGAGCTCAACCCCATGTCGTGATTTGATGTGCTCATCAGCTGCTGTATTTAAACACTTCAGGTCTTACTGCGGCCCTTGTTCTGTGAAATTAAATACAATAAAAAGAAACAAATAATATTTGTATACTTCGTATTGAAAATATTAAAAAAACTGTAAATAAATCAAATCGGGGAAGTCGTGGCCTAATGGTTAGAGAGTCGGACTCGTAACCCAAAGGTTGCGGGTTCGAGTCTCGTACCGGCAGGGATTGTAGGTAGGTAGGTAGGTAGGTAGGTGGGTGGGGGTTGAATGTACAGCGCTCTCTTCCACCTTCTTCCACCTCAAGGCACCGAACCCCCAACTGCTCCCCGGGCGCCGCAGCAAAAAATGGCTGCCCACTGCTCCGGGTGTGTGTGTGTTCACTGCTGTGTGTGTGCACTTTGGATGGGTTAAATGCAGAGGGTAATGGGTCACCATACTTGGCCACATGTCACTTCACTTCACTTAAATACTATTGAAAAGCAGATGATAGTACCACCACAACACTTCTGTTGTACCATGTTGTAGGCTGATATCGATGACAACTGTTTTCCTGAATAAGATTCTGTGTCATACTCACTCTCAAAAATAAATAAATAAAATAAAAAATAAGTGCACATTCAAATATTAATTACTTTATATCACTGTACTTGAATGCACAAATAGAAATAACAATGGAAACGGCTTGTGTGAGAAATCAGTCACTGGAATGAGTCTGGAAGTCTACAATGAAATATTTACAAGTAATGCATTGTTTGCAAAAAATAAATAGATAAAAACGGATAAAAATTAAATATATGGCTACTTTTAAATGGCCGTAAATGCAGAAGATACTGTCCAGCTGAACTTTGACGTCTCGGCATCAGGCTTTAATGAGATCTTGAGTGCTGCTAGAAGATGCTCGTCGGAACCGCAGCTTTGGCTCCCTGTGTGCCACAACCACACCAGCTCGTTTCCATGGTGACCTGCTCATGCACAACAGTTCTTTGCCAAGATGAGATGAGATGAGAAATCCCAAATCAGCAACTAAACCACACAACATAAAATACAATCTTTCAGTCTTTACAAGCCTTTCAGATGTATTCAGTGTTTATTATTAGATAAGTTAACAAAATTAGCAATGCTAATGAGAAAAAAAATGCCCCAAAATGTATTATTTAGCATCAAATCATTTCATTAAATGCAAAATATCAAAACAAGAGTGGTTTATTTAAAGACGCACAAAGGCACTTTGTAAGCAGCTGATTTACATTTGACACAATACAACCAGAAAAAAATTAAAACAAAGTTAAATAAGACATTGACCATATAAAAAAAATAATTTAAAATAAATAAATAATAAAAGCACCAAAAGTTAAATAGGCTAAAAGACATTTTTTGAAATATCCAAAAGTAAAAAAAAAAACACTGACCAAAAACAAACAAACAAAAAACAATAAAAAAAAAAAAAGTCAAATGAACGACCAATAAATAAAAGAATAAAAGACACTGACCAAAACAACAACAACAA